ACTATTAGTATCCAAGGCAGATGGTTCGCTTGAAGTGGAAGAACCGTCCAAGACAAGCCTCTGGCTCTCTTCACATTGAATCTCTGTGAGCGTAGCACGAGCGAAAGGAAGAAAATCCCAGCCAAGAATACAGCTTTAGACTTCATCAAGGTTTGTTAAGTTCTACCGCAAATTGAAATATACAATCCTTTTCTACAATTTTCTGAAAGAGTGAAAGATCTGCTAGAAAGTGTCAGGTGCACTCATAATAAAGATCACATTCCATCCATAAGGCCACCAAATCATTGTAATACTGGTTCACGATCCTCGATCCCTGATTCGCCTCGCTAATCTTAATAGAAACCTCATAAAATTTGTTGGAGTTCCCTACATCCGAGTAAGAATCCCGAACTACAATCCATATGGCACTAATAGAATGAAGAAACATATATGAGCGGCCAATTGTAGTCTCCTGGAGTTGATTAGCCGTGACATGACCAAGAAATTCTTAAGTTCCAAGATTCACAAATTATCCCTGCAAGATAACTGAATTTTTCACATCCCTTGACTAATAAGAACGTGGCTTGAGACCATTAGAGAAAATTAGAACCGTTCAGTTTATATGTAGTGATTAGGAAGTTCTAGTGATTTTTTGGTTGTCTGCTCTGCGAAGGCAATGAAATTGGTGTCGATCCTCCGATGGACTCGTGTACACCATCACGAGGAGGCTCGATGGTGGAGGAAATCTCCATGATCCCGACGGAGCCAAAGTTGATGTTGGATAGCCGAGACATAAAAAGACATACAAAGAGCGGACCTCCGACAATCGACGACAGATCAGTTCGGCTGGAGCAGGGCGACAAACTGGTTTACACGGCTTTTTATTTAAGTTTATAATGTATTTTTTTTTTTAAGTTTTGGAACCATTTGTGGTTTTTTTGTGTGGGCCGAGTGCCCTGCATGGGCCCTCCCACACATCGTATCTTCATCTTTCGTTCTATTTAATATATTAGCCTTTTTGGGCTTTCAAAAAAAAAAAAGTATTCATGTGTTGTCATAAAGTGACACTTCTTCGAGTAAACATATAGCTTTTCCAATCACAGAACCTCCAAGATCATCCTCATATGTTGCAATTGCTCCTATAATCTGCTGTAGAAGAGGATATCATCAAACTACACAACTACGAACTTTCCAATGTAAGCCCAGAGCACTTAATTCATCAGTCTCATGAAAGAGGTATGTTCATTGGACAGTCCAAAGGGTGTGATTGTCAACTCATACAACCCATCTCTGGCCTTTAAGGTAATATTTCATTCATCCCCCAGGCCCATCCTGATTAGGCGATAACCACTGCGTAGGTAAATCATGGAAAAAATAATGACTCCATGCAACTGATCTAGTAAAGCATCAAGGTGAGCTATATAAAATTTATACTTGATAGTGATCTTATTAATAGCTCGAGTATCAATACACATCCTCCACGAACCATCCTTTTTAGGCACTATCAATGCAGATGGACTTGTGCTCTCCCTCACCAACCCTCTAGCAATTAGACTATGCACCTATCGTTGCACCTCCTCATACTCAGCTGGTCTAAATTTATCTGCAGGTCTGTTAGGCAACACCGATCCAGAGATAAAGTCTATGCTAAGATACATGTCTCTAAGTGGTGGTAGACCCTCTGGTATGGTGTCAATCAACACATCCTGAAAGTCGATCAGTAGTATTTGTATCATCTTTGGTAGCTCATTCTCTTCCTCAAACCCCACTAAGATGATTAAGGATTCATGCTGATTATAGAAAGGTGGCACGTGGGACAAGTTTCCTCTGCAATGTTAGTGTCCTCTCCCTCAAACTTTTTGATGGGAAAAAGAACAGTATTTCCCCTCCTACGTGAAAGAGGAGTTCTTGAACTTATCATGTTAAGTCCTAAGATCAAACTATCACTGTTTCCCCAACAAGACAAGAAAAGCATCATTGGGCATGATATCACACCACACCTGATCCTCCAACTGGTCTCCAATAGAGAACTCGATTAAACATCGTTGATCCACACGTATCTCATGCCCCTTCTTCAATTAGGTCAGAGAATAGGGTTGAGAATACTTCTGAATAGCCAAGTTCAACTTCAACAAAAAAGTAGAGACAATATTCTTACAGCTCCCCTCATTAATAATAAGGTTGCATATCTTTCCCTCCCAGTCCACCTAATGCAAAAGATGTTATGTCACAACTATGAGTGATTTTTCTTCGGTTCATATTACAAAGCCCTCCTCAAAACAAGCATGTCACCCTCATCTTCATGGAGCTGGTACTCACCCTATCTTCAACTACCTCCACCTCCCTTCCTCCAATGTATCTTGCTCGATGAAGAAAACAAATATGCTCCTAAAGAAACTGGAGGCATACTATCCATACCCATAGCACCTGAAGCATTTCTTAGCTGGAGCTATGATGGGTGTGCTACTCTTCTCATGCTTCTTTCCACTCTAATCAGCCCTATCAATGCCCCGACCAATCTACACAACTCCCTCGTGTGTGCTCCTAATAATGCCTCTAGTCATGGGTGGTTGTCTGAATAGAGGAAAGTGTATCTTATACTTTGTTGTATCTCCACCTTTAGTGCCAAGGTCTGAACATCACCCAATGACCGATAAGATTATAGCTACACAACATTGTCAATGGAGGGCTTCAGGCCTCCCAAGTATCTGGTTATAGTGTACTCCTTTGGCTCTATCAGCTAACATTTCAACATAAACTGCTCGAGTTATTTAGTGAACTCCTCCACTAACAATTTCCTCTGTTGTAGCTAGTAGAGCTTCAATAACATTTCTTGAGGGTAGTGTAGAGGTAGGTCTTTTCTCTGCAACCCTTTCTTCATCTTCTCCCAAATAGTGATCTTATTCTGATCTTTTTTGTCTCGCTCTCTTCAGTTATCACAAAGTGGCACTCTTTTTCAGCTTTATCAGCTAACATTTCAACATAAACTGCTCGAGTTATTTAGTGAACTCCTCCACTAACAATTTCCTCTGTTGTAGCTAGTATAGCTTCAATAACATTTCTTGAGGGTAGTGTAGAGGTAGGTCTTTTCTCTGCAACCCTTTCTTCATCTTCTCCCAAATAGTGATCTTATTCTGATCTTTTTTGTCTCGCTATCTTCAGAATTTCTTATCACAAAGTGGCACTCTTTTTCAGCTTTAAAGCAACAAACTTCACCCTAACAGTTGTAATGCCAAAATTTCAAGGAACCGGGTAAAGTTCTGCACAATTGAAAAGTACCCCAAAATTGTTCACCTCTCCAAATTTGATCAAAATAATTTTCAATTCTACACAAGAAATCAATCAGTTCCATATAAAGTATCATGCATGAATAATGAATGAAATGAGAAATAAAAACAAAATTGAGAAGTTATAAGTTTTAATACCTTAATTAATCCCGAATTAATTTTCTTAATCCTCGCTATTGTTCCCAACCGACCACTCCATGCCTTTTATTCGTAGATTTAGGTCATAGGGCTAGAGAGCTTCGAAATTCCTTCCCCATTTCCCAATTCTCTCTCCTGATTCTCTTCTCCATCGTGCCTCTCCCTCACGCGAGAGCATAGTCCTGCACATCACAATCCTAGGCATTCGATCCCCTCACTTTTGTATTGAAGTTTGCCTCATTTTTTGAGTTTTTCTCATTCCAGGCAGTCGTCGGAGGCACCGATTGTGGGACAAAAGTGTTGTAATCAATTTGCAAGCTTCCAAAAAGGGTTTTATCCCGCGTTAAGCGAAGGGGAAGTTAAGTTGGAGGTGATATAAAGAAGATAGCTGGTTTCAGAGGGGTGATTTATGCCGAAAAGCCTATTTGAGGTATGTTTCGGGCGAGTAAGTTATGTTTTAAGTTAAATCATGTTATGAACCCAAATGTTGTCTTTGTTTCCCAAGTTGTGTATACGAGGTGGCGAGCTCGAGGCGAACATATAGAAACTCATCGTAGTGTTGCTCCGTCTAGTCAGATGAAATAATCATATGCAACATTAAGAAAAATACTCTTTTATAAGTCTCATATGATTTTTAGTTTGACATTGATGCATTTAAGAATTATGACATATTTTAGATCAATACCTACAATTAATTTATGAATGCAAATTGACTTTTAGTATACTGCACATGATTCTATGTCATTGTATGGTCCAAATGATTATGCATATAACACTGATTGTTTGCACGTATTCATTCTGTTATGATTCATGCTTATGAGATATGAAATACCTGATTACAGGAATTATGCTTTATGAAACCTAATCTGGCTTACAAGTAGGCTTGGCTAAGTTAAAAACATAATCCTAACCCAACAATTGTGTCAGATGTTATTCTTCACTCTACTCCGATGCAATGCATAAGCCTATAACAAATATTAAAACTTCTTTTATTATTGTTATTATTGAGAAAACTCTCTCGTTGTTGATGCTATACCAATAAATTTTCTCTAGGCATCATTTTATTCATGAGATGATGAATAATCCAATAACCAAAGAATGTTATTAGGATTTGCACATTTAAATTTTTCAGGAAGCACAAAAAGTAAAAGCATAGAACTAATCAATAAAGGTGGTCAGTTAATTGAAATTGACCAAAAATTGTAGATTTTTCCATAATATTACTTTATCGTTTTAAACATGCACAACTGCAAGACATGGCAATATGAACCATAAACTGCTCCAAAAAAAGTACCATTAATACGCACAATCAATATAATTTTTTAAAAGTACTAAAGAAAATGCTAAGGAATTCATCACAACATTCATAAAGATAAAACAAGACTACCCATCCAACTGGCAAACCAAGAGGAAGGAGAAGGGCCAATGGCAACAATGAAAAAAAAAACATTTCAAATAGCACAATATCCATTGATAAACTCAGAATAAAATTTATTGACTCAGTAAATAAATGAGAAGGCATAAAAAGCAAAATTGTAGAGGAATCAAATGCACTGCACAATAGTGTAAGATAACTCAGAAGACCAAAAAGAAAACCTTTTCATAGTCGAAAAAAGTAGTTGAGCCTCTAATAGAATCCGAAGTCACTGGATCCTTACAAGGACGAGAAAACTTCCACGCACACTGCTCCCAAACCCGTCCTGTCCATCTACTAAGAAGCTGAAATCCTTCGATAACCATATCATACATATTTCCTTTTACTTCTCTACACCAATCCGGGTTGGAAGCTTCCGTCGACTTCAAATTTATGACCTGCATTGTTTAAAAAAAATAAGTTTTAAAGTTAACAAAAAAATCATTTTAAGTGTATCTTGATAGCTACTGCTAATTTACATGCATAACGCGTAACTAGAAAGCTTAGTGAGGCTTCGCAATCAATGATTTTGGGCTTAATATCAACTAGCTTGAGCCCGTCAAATAAAATTATCAAAACCAGAAGAGGAACATTTTGCAAACTTTCTAAGTAAAGAAGCCAACACGAGAAATTACAAACTAGAATAAGTTGGTCCGTGATATTTATGGAGTGTTATCATAGAGAAGTACATGGATGGAAAGTTACATTTTTATTAGGCTATTATATTGTCCTTATTGTTATCTTTCTTTTATACTCAATGATTACTTAATTATAGACACCTATCCTCAAGCTTCATAGTAAATGCAATATTTAATTTAAGACTAATGAACGTCCATAAAAAGATATTGAAAATAGGTGTCTATAACCCCAAGGGCCTGGACAGATCCTAATTAAGGTTTTTCTCACTGTAAGGGCTTACTCAGCTTTTTTAGGGTTTCTATTTTTTTTTGTTTTAATAAACAATTAGGGTTGCCCATGTTGGTTTTACAAATAACTACTTAAGAGTTTGTATAAATATTTGGCTTGATTATATAATATTGGAGATTTCTTTCACTATTTTTTTACTCTTAAAAATGTAATAGCCTTTCCCCTTCTATTGGTGTGCACGTAGTTTGAATGACATCAAGTGAGGGATCCTCCCCGACGTTATTGCAATGCCGAAATTATTTTTAAATTTGAAATAATCTGTGGATTTTGACCCACAGACGGAACCACCAATCATTCCGATTTGGATTTGACATTCCTACTTTTAACATTTTTCGTCCATCTGAAGTCAGAGTACTCATTAAAAGGGACATCACTTCAATCGCTTCTAAGTAAATTTGGTTAGGCACACAGCACCATGGATATCGGCAAAAGGTTGTGATTGAGCCTTTCCTTCCCTATTGTTCGAACGGTCATATGTTTGGCCACTCAAGTTCTCAATGTCATCACCTACAAACTCATATCAAACCAAGAAAGTAAAGTGTTCTGTCAGAGGCAGTGATTTCCCCTCATATTGATATGCTCCAAGTTATCGACAGTATTGATCTTCAAAAGAATACACCTAAAGATGTCACTATTATCGCAGGCAATATGTCAGTCATTCAGCCTACACACAATGTCATAGTTTTCCCATCTTTGGAACCCCTTTAGTGGGGGCGAAAGAGACATTTCAAACGTCACCTGACCTAGAACCAATCACTGATTTTACGGATGACAATATTGCTACTGTTTCTCTACTGCCTCATCAGGTCAAGCAGGATGTTACTGTTACTCAGGCACATAGGGTTCATGAAGTACAACACTTTGGAAGGTTCTTTAATGAAGGGAGATTCCTCTTGGATCAATAGACATGTCTTTTGAATTCAAAAAGGTTGACTTTTGGATAGAATTTTTTTAGGAAATTTTGAATTCTTTCTGTAGGGAGACGGCCTCTAATAAAAGAGAAGGAAGTCTAGGGCTTGAAGAAGAGGCGTGTGAGGGATTTTCGAAGAAGGTAAGGGAGAGAGAGAGAAGTCAAGGGCTTAGAGATTTTCTTCAAGGATTGTAAGAGGAGAGGGAATGTGAAAGATTTTTTCTTCACGACTTTTCTAAGAGAGAATTGAGAGTGTTTGTAAAGAGAGAAAGTGTTTGAAGAGAACTTCTAGGGATTTACTTGGGAAAGATTGTGAGATAAGTTGTGTTCTTTTATTTCTTTGTTTTGTAAACTTATTTTTATATATGAAATTCGTGTTTTGTCGTATCATTCTCATGAATTTTGAGTATTCTTTATCCTTCTCTCAATGCTAAGATATGGCTTTGTGAAGAATTGATTTTATTTTATAAGGTTTTAAATGTCATCGATCTTCATTTACTTTTCGATCTGGCCAATTAAAATGTTAAAATATGTTGAGAAACATATGATTTGAAAAGGCTATGATTTCTACAACATAGTGAGAATCATATTTGATTCCATGGGAGAGGATGTCATCCATGAGATTGAGTGCAAATAAATAGGGAAGTATACTTTGTTAGATGCAGAATTGAAGATTTTAAGGTGACAGATTAAAATCCTCAATTTGGTCCAGTTGATTGGAAACTAATGCGAGATTGTTAGCCCTCAGATGAGGTAGCAGTGGGAGCTCTGGCGTGGCTGCCGGTATCCTCCTAGCATAACCACAGAATTAGGGATCAAACTTTGGATTAGTCAATATACTTTATGCACTTGGAAGAGAGTAAAGAATAATATTGCTCCTATTTAGCACAAAATAATATATATATATATATATATTTAAATGATTTTAACTTCTTCACAATTCATATACTCATTATAAAGGGGAATGATGTTTTCTTAAATTTGAACTCTTCGTCACAAAAACTTTATTTAATTTTTGTAAGTTTACTTTTGAAAGTTTAGCAATTAGTTTAACTTAGTTTTTTTAACTACATTTTAATTAGCATTCACTCATTTACTCTAGATTCGAATTTTGTACTTCACTTTTGTAGTTTAAATTATAGTTTACATTATAATCATAAGAATTTACCTATAAGCATTTCCAACTTCCCTGTGGGATCGATATCCAGGACTCCGAGCAATACGTATACTTGTGTTATTTTTAGGAATTTGGCAATTTAAAAATTTTTAAAAAAATAAAATTATTTTCACAAAAGTTATTTTTATTGGGATTAAATTGCATATTTACTATTGTATCTGTCATATGTATTTTGTAAAATTGAAAAATATTTATAAAAATAACACACTAAATCCGCCTGCATCACTGGCTACAGTGGCTGGATTCTAAAATTGCAGTAAAGAAATGGAGGTATGGTAAGATAAATAACTCGTTAGGGTCGAGCTACAGTCGGAGCACCACTCAGAGCCTTGAAGACGATCACCACATCGGACGAGGGACAATTAGGGCACTAATTCAATGTCATAAAACCTAAAGTCATATATCATAAACTAGACCCCTAACTCTAAGCACATCATCCTCTATTTGTAATAAGGCAAGGATTTTATTTAAGCTATATTTAAAATGAGAGAGATTAAAATTAGATTTCTGATTTTAAGAATGGTTTATTAAAATAAGAAGGAAGAATAAAATCAGATCTCAGAATTTAAAAAAGAGGGAAAAAATATTCAGAAATTCTAATTTGAAAAGACTTATATTAGAAAGATACTAAGAATGAAAAAGGGGAAGGGGAAAGAAGGAAAAGTGAGGAGCGGCAGCCTCACTCAGTGAGTCCTCCATAGCACCCACATCAACACTGCTAAGAATCAATCATGATGAATTGAAGTTCAGGCATGATTTGTATAATATATACAACCCAACTTAATGGGAAGTGTTGAAAAGTACCAATCTACATATCAAATTAGGAGAAAATTTATTTTTCCTCTCAGAATATATTTCACAAATTAAGTTTTATTTTATTAGATATTTTCTATTTCTATTTTTTATTTGGTAGGATTTCTATTTTATTTCCTTTTGGTATTATATAAATGTTGTAAGGTGTAATGCATTGAGGTAGCAAAAAAATTTATTTGACAGATTTCTACAATATGGATTAATTTGGGATTGGTTGGTTTGATTTTATGCAATAGAGATTATTTTCTTTAATTTTTTTCTTTGTCAGAATGTTGCATCCTTGAGCTTTCTCAGGTGGTGTCACGGTAACATGATTAAATCTGGGTGATGATCTCTCCTGGATGTCTCATAACCCTCCAACACCATCAACCCTTGTTTCAGGCCCACTAAATAGCTGTCCGACTAGAGTCTACCCATCGATTGCACTGATTGTCCCACCACCACCTTTAATTTTCCATCCATCACATTCTTACAACTTTCCAAACTCATCCATTAACCTTTTCCCCAATCTAGTAATCCCAGTGTAGTCTTAAGCAAGATGGGTGCAAAGCTCCAACAAAGTTTACTCATATTCACACAAATAGATGGATAGAAAAAAATGGCATGAATCAGATTGAAGTGTGAGGAAATTCCTACAACATCTTTTAGGAAGCTCAAACCAAGAGCTGACAATCTATTTTGGGTTAGTAAGATAATCAACAATAATGTTTACAAGATTGACCTACGTGATGGCTGTAACATTTCTAACACTTTCAATATTACTGATTTGATATCATACTATGAGAAGCCAAACATTGTGAACATTGAAGGTGAAGCCTCTCCCGCCGAGGAGAATTAAACAAGTGTGAAATTCCGTCCTAGGTGAAAGCAGAAGTAGAACTTCCATTCCAAAGTGAACCGGGAGTGGATTGAACTTGTCTTGATTCAAATTCTCCCGTCCTAGGTTCATTTGATTGTTCTAGTTAGCTTCAAGATTGCTTATGTCGGCTTTATTATAAAAAATTGTTTTAGAGGATGTATTGGACAATTTACTTGATTTTATACTATTGGAGATTTCCTTGTCTAATTTTTTGGTCTTAAGGTAGCCTTTCTCCTTCAATGGTGTGTCAATAGCTTGAACGAGATCAGATGGTGAATCCTTCCCAATGTCCATATCTCACCACAATTGTCGTCAATCGGCGTTCCCGTCATACTTCCTATTCAGTAGCACCCATGTTCAGTTTATTCCCAATCTAATTGTTTCTTATTTTTATTTTTTTTTCTTTTTTTAACTATTCTCTAAACTTCACCAACACTTAGTTTGATCCTCATACACCTTCTAAGAACCCTAAAATGATCTCTCTCTCTCTCTCTCCTCGCACCCTCCCTCCCTCTCTCTCTCTCTCTCTCTCTCTCTCTCTCTCTCTCTCTCTCTTCTCTCTCTCAAACATAATGGTAACAATGATGATGGTCGCTATGTTGGACCATAACATCAGTGCTAACAAACAAAGCATTCAACTAATCGTGGTTTTGAGACATTTGGTTGTCATCCAACTAATCAACATGTATTTAACACTATAAATCCATTCCCAAGAGTATCTCTTCAAGCTCTGCTGCCGTTTATTTCAATGGCAACTAAGATTACCTTTTGCAACAATTCTAGATGCCAATTTTCACTTATCACAATATTTCCTCAAATAGCTTGGTTATAGCAAATCATTCTGATAAGCTTCAGTTTTATATTTCGATGCTTCATATCATATGGCAAGTAAGCAACAATAACTTTAATCATCTACTATTAGGAAATAGGTGAACTTCTTGGTCATCATATTTGGGATTTGATTACACCCCCAACAAAGATTAAAACCATTTTTTTGTCCATATGAATTCACTATTAAGTTACATTCTGATGATACTATTAATCACAAGAAGGCTTAATTGCTAGCAAAAGTACATGCCTCGATCCACGGCTCCAACTACTTCGAGAATTTTTTCCCCAACAGCCCAATTGAATGTTCTGCCTTTGTTCTATTTGTTATCATTAATCAAAACTGATCCAGATGCTTTAAACATATCTCAATAATACCCTTCTCTATTAGGCTCTTACCAAAACTATTAATATGGAGCAACCTCTATGAATTGTTGCTCAGGAGGAACAAACTGTGCAATCTTCATAAAACCATCTAGCAACTTTTTTGAATCTATTAAAGATCGAAAGTTTAGTTCAAATTTTGCCCTGGGGGTTAAAATTCTTGTTCTCTAGAAACATAAGAAAAAGATTGTTGTGGCAAAATCTGTTGTTGGATATGAATACATAGTCATAGTTCATTTTGTTTGCAAAAGGATGTGCATTAAAACTCTAGTAAAAGAAAAAAACTTCCCTATGACAGTTTGTATGATTCTTAACAATGACAACCAGCCAACCAGCTACATTACAAGCAATCTTATCGTTCATAAAAGAACCAATTATATCAAGTAGATTGTCCCTTCATCACAAATTCAATCCTTACAAAAAATGGTTATCATTCCACTGATGCAAAAAAGCAGTGCATTTATTTACCAAAACTTTAAGACCACTTAAGCTCTTTATTGTAATATAAAAGGAAAGCACCAGATTGAAAACAGCTCTTTTTTACCATTTTGCTTATTGTAATATAAAAGGAAAGCACCAGATTGAAAAGGCTTTCTCCATATTATTTTTTTAGCCAATTATTCATACTGATCCAAAAATAAGCATTTAAATTCATCCAATAATATAAACAGGAAAAAATGTTTCTCCCCAAAGACGTAAACCAGACATAACCCACAATGAGATAAAATAAGTACCTGATTGACTGCCGAGGCAAAGCGAATAGAGAAATCATCATGCTCAGCTCTAATAGTTCCAATGCAGTTTACAACCAAATAATGCCTCTTATATGTAAAACAGTCAAGGTTCGGCATGCAAATATGATTAACAAGGAAAATTCACCACATTAGAACTGAAGAGCTCGACAATACACAAGTTATCCTCGTTGAATGTTATGACACAATGGGCAAAAAAGTCACAAAGGAAAATGCAACAACAATAACAACAACAAGCCTTTATCCCTGTAAGTGGTGTCGGCTACAAGAATCCTTTTTATCCAATGTGTCCTATTGAGTATCTTATTTTAATTTAATTCTAATAAATAAATATTATTTTTATACAATATGCCCAACCTCTTTTTTGATCTACCTCTGTCTTTCTTAACATAAGTTGAATCTAAAACATCTACTCTCCTAACCGACTAATTAGATGGCCAACGTTTAATGTGACAAAACCATCTAAGATGACTCTCTCCAATCTTGTCTACCACTGGAGCTACACCAAACCTTCCACGGAACATTCATCTCCCATTTTGTTTTCTCATCTCAGAAACACTTAACTTAGTTTTACGCTTCTTCTTAAAAGGCCATCATTCTGCATCATAAAGCATTGCAGGCCTCACCACCATCCTATAAAATTTTCCCTTTAAGTCCAAGTGATGGTTTTCTATCACACAATAGGCCTGATGCTTTCCTTTACTTCAAACAACCAACCTGAATTTATTAATAACATCCCCATTTATATCACCATCACTTTGAATAATAGACGCGAGATATCTAAATTGTTCACACCTTTTAATCATTTGATCATAAATAGTTACTACTCTGTCATTAGATCCACTACTATTAAAATTACATTCAATGAATTCAGTTTTATATCTACTAAAACGAAGGCCTTTAGACTCAAATGTAAACCTCCATAATTCGACCAAAAGGAACATGTGCATAAAAAAATGATGAAAATAACAAACTGAACATCTAATTGCTACAATTACTAAAAGTCGTTTAACCTTTTAAAGTCATTTGGAATACAACAAAGATTTAATTTTGCAAGAATTAAAATTAGGGTTGATAATTGGGCAGACAGAGACAAGAGTTATAACTCTGATTCAATTTAGGCCAATAACTTGTCATAAATTTTCCATTCCAAACATAAAAGAAGCAGGTTGTGCTCCTTTTGACTAAATTTATACCCAAAAAGCAGAATAAACTTTTAAGTTCAAGTTAAGAGACAATTTTGCACTCACAGTGGAAAAGAAAGATATATTTTTGTGTAGAAAAATGTGGGAGGGAATCCTCACATAATTCTTATTTCACAATCTTCAACTATAAGGCTACATATATAGAGAAATCGGTCCCTCCTAAGTTACAATTTTATCAAATATATATAGCCTAAACATAGAAAGAAAATAATTCTAAAATGAACATAAATAGGAAGAGAATAAAAACTAATCAAGGAGTTTCCCAAATTACCTTCCATTAATTCATCCATCACTCATTGGATGGTTCGTCTAGGCCCATCATGGAAAGGAGTCTGATCCTCTTAGATTTTCACACTCCCCCTCAAGGTAGGCCATAAATGTTTTAGAGACCAAGCTTAGTTAGTATTAAACTCTGATAAGTTGCTTAAAGGAAAAGTTTCGGTGAAGCCATTAACAACTTGTTGGTGCGTTGAGATGTAGCTTAGCTACATAATTCCACCATTAACTCTTTCAGAGATAAAGTGTTGTCAATTTCAACAATGTTGGGTCTTGTCATGATGCACAGGATTCTTTGCAATACCGATAGTCGCTTGGCTGTCACAAAAAATTCGTATAAAACTATTAGAGGTACACCTAATTCCCATTACAATCTTTAAATCCAAATCACTTCACAAATTCCTAAGACAAGTGCCCAATACTCTGATTTTTTACTGGTTCTAGAGACAACAGCTTGCTTTTTTTATTTTATGTGATTAGATTTTCCCAAAAATAGGAGCAAACCTTCTTTGAGTGTAACCTATGGTGGACCTTCTTTGAGTGAGTCCTCGGCCCAATTTGCATCGGTGTAGACCTCTACTTCTTTATTTCTGGTTCTCCATAAAAATCTATAACCACGGTTCTACTTGAGAAATCTCAGAATCTATACACCCTCATTGATATATTCTAGAGATCGCTACCTCTTTATTTCTGGTTACTTATATGTTGGCTCACAATAATGACAAAGTATGCAATATTTGGACTAGTATGTGACAAATAGATGGCTTTCCTACCAATCATTGATATTTTCCCTTTTCAACAAATATATCTTCTTCTCTCCTATTAGACTATTTGTTGGAATCCATTGGAGTAACAACACATTTGCATCCAATCATACGTCTCCTTTAGCGAATCTAGGATGAATTTCCTCAGTTATATAAGAATACCCTTCCTGGACCTTGCTATCTACATACCTAGGAAATATCTAATGGTTTTTAGGTCCTTGATTTCAAACTCAATGGCAAGCACTTCTTTAATTTTAATAATTTTCCTTTCATCATCACCAATAAGAATCATATCATCCACATATACTATCAGTGCAACAATCCTACATTCCTTAATTTATTTTATGAATAATATATGATCAGCTTAAGTACATTGTAGGGCAAAAATAGATGAGAAAATATCTGAAACAAACATGCTTGGGAGGGATTCGAAAGGCTATACGAATTGTTTTTGTGTGAAAATAACCTAGGGGGGAAAGAATATTGCCAAGAGTTCAAGGAAATTTGAAAGTCGGGAAAAATCCACCGCCTACTATTGATCAAACTACAGTCACACTGCCTGGAAAAGAAGATAGTATAACACACCAAGCGTAAAGACAAAAACAGAGACAAATCTCCAATAACATAAAATAAGCCAAAAAAGTTCAAAACCAGGTTCTAAGAAATATATCTATATTTTCAAAATAGAAGCGGGTCTAATTTTGTTCTTATTTAGATAATAAAGAGGCCTAGGGCTAACCAACCCCCTTAGAAGCAACACTCTTCAACTACGTCTATTTTAGGTAACTTAGACGCAATACAACAACAACAAGCCTTAATCTTACTAAGTGGGGTCGCCTACATGAATTATTATTCTCTATCGTGTCTTATTGAAAGTCATATTTTTATTTAATTTTGATAAATTAAGATCAATTTCTATACAACATGCTCAAGTTTTAGGTCTACCTTTACCTTTCTTAAAGTCAGTCGAATCTAAAATATCTACTCTCATAACAGGATCATTAGATGGTCGATGTTTAATGTAATCAATCCATCTAAGAAGACTCTCTCTAATCTCGGACTCAATACATGATTGAAATCTCTCCCGCATTCTAGGAAAAAGACACATGCCTATGTCTCTCTACCAAGTGGGAGAGGTTGCACCTTAGTCCTTAGAGGCATCGAAAACCTCATATTATGGTAACAACTTGGGGTGTGATTTTTTGGCTATGATTGTATGAAATTTGAGTTCAAAAGCTACCGTAAAAAATTTGTTGTTTAAAATCTAGTATTTCAGTAGCAATTAATCTACCCGGGGGTTGGAGTTAACCAAGAAGGGAACAGGCGGTGGAAATCAATTCTCAGTTATTTTAATTCTAATACTAATAATTTAATATTTAAATAATATATGAAAGAGCCACTAAAGAAAGCGATTAAAATTAACAAGTAGAAATTTTTATATTTTTGTTTGATGTTCTCGTCTCTTGTATATATTAGTTTCTCCCTTATCTTATTCAAATGTTTAAAACTTAAAAACAATATTAAAGCACCATAATGAATTATTTAAAGATAAATCATAGGTAATCACACTACTAAACAACAGTAATGAAAGGAAAAAAGTACAATATGTATGTGTCTAAAGAAATCTTATAATATGTTGGTCTTTCATATTTATTTATAAGCAATATAATATATGTTTTTAAACAATTGGATATATGTACTTATAATCAATATAATATATGTTAATGCATGCATCAATGATCTTTTCTAAATGAACATATTCAATCTTCTATAACCATTTATTTTAACAGTATTTTTACTTTATACCTTAGATACACATCTGCCTCTGTGAGAATCACTGTCAACAAACATAACACACCATTAGCTAATATTGCCCTGTCGGCTCCCGTCAGCACAACGGTTAGCGGTCAACGCATCGCGATTGTCTATGATGGAAAGTTTCATACCAACCCTTAACTGATATTATCCCATCAACACAACCGTTAGTGAACTAACCATCACAATTTTCTAGGGTGGTAAGCGCGCAATTGTACACAGGCATCCCCTGCCTATACCATTAGGGGATAAAATCCTTCTCTGAACATACACAAACAAGCATTCACATATATTATTTCTTTCTTCATAACATACATTACTCAAAGACATCTTTATGCATCAACTACATGCATAATTATTATGTTGTGCAACTACTTACCAAACGTCACTTTTATATCATTCATATCTCTTACTTATATTTATCTCATGCATATCTCTTACTTATATCATGAATATTTTTCCTATATGTCTATCTTACGTGTCTATCATACATATAATGTCTATTTAAATACCATTCATCTATATTTCCCATCTAAAAATATGAAGAATTTGTTACAATATAAAATATAACTAAACAAAAACATACAAATAAATCGACATTTTTAAATAAAGAAAATTACTGACATTCAAAAATATAATTACTCACCTCAATTGTTACATTAAAATCATAATTTTCAACAGTTAGTTGGACGTTGTGATGAGTTTTAAGTTGAGATTAATAACCGATAAGGCATAATATTAAAATTAATACAAGTAATTTTTGTTAATTGAATTAATCTTCTTAAATTACCGTAAGATGCCCACACTCTCGCCTTGAGCCTGGAGGCCCGGTAAACAAACTAAAATCCACAATTAATTTTAGATTTAAAGATATTTTCGCCAATAAAGTAATTAAGAAAAATATAAATAATTTGTTATAACATACCTTAAACAGCTTTCTCGGCGACCGCTTCTTCTCCAAAGGTACATCCTCCTCTAAATATCCAGTAAAAGCATCCATAACTAAAGCAAAAGAA